ATGAATGTAAGACTATGTTAGAAGGGAAAATACAGAGAGATTGGGCTATGCAAGTGAATTTTATTATGTCCTAATGAGTTTCAGTATATTCAAATACTGTGTCATTAGAAGCACACATATTGCACTCTATTGCATATTTAAAATGATAACTTAAAATGATATCAGCTAATTCCCAGTTATCTTTTAATACCCATTTAGGTTTATGTGCAGTAGAAATATATTTTTTTGTAAGACAGCAGTTGAGATGGATTTAAACAAATCGGGGTCTCAGAGCAGGTAAAATTAATCATGGAGATATGTAAGGTCATGCACATTGACAAAATAAAATGCAGACAGAATCTAGAAAAAAGGCCTATGTACCATTTAAGCCCTGAACATAGGCTTTAGGTATGACATGAGTGCTAGTCAGGAGTTTTGCACAGCAGTGAATTTTAACCTGTGATTGCAACCTTGTGTGAGGAGAAAGGCTTAATGTTGATGTGGCTAGCACAATAAAGATATATGTTCAATAGATATATGTAACAAAGATATATGTAACAAAAATTAAAACTATAGTATTTAGGATTATAAAGATGTGAGCCCAGTTCTCTAAGGATATTCATCTGATTAAATAATGCTATGCATGCTTTCATCTGGAGTTGTGTATCCAACTTTGGTCCCTTTGCTTTAAGTAAGATATCGTGGACATTATCAAAGTCCTGAGAAGAGCAGATTATGCACTTGCCATAATAAAAAAATACCCTTCAGAAGGAGTAAAGGCAAAATGAAATGAGACTCAATTAAATACTATCCATTGTTAACCTTAATATGAAAGAGTTTGGGCCTTAAATATGTAATTATAAAAAGTAAAAATGGTACCTCTGTACTCAACAAATCTGCTCCCTCTATGTATTCAGAGTCATCCCTTTATAGTCTAGTGAGAGAAATATAATTTTCTAAAAATTAGTTGCAAACCTTATTAAAGACCATGGTTTGCACAGGTTTCACTGAAGTCGTAATTTGAAAACTTGGAGGTTACAGAGAAGTAACTCTGAGACTAATTTAGTCTATAAAATTACCATAGTGGTAACAATGAGATGGTAAGTACTCAACCAGACACTCAGTCACCAGGCTATGTATTCAAGGGTGGGAGGTAGAGAAAAATAAAACAAAAAAATTTCTTTTTGTTTGTGAATTGATCACATGGAAACCACTGAGTGATAATTGTTATGTGATCATAGAAATCCCCTTGAGACTGTTACTTGATGTGCTAAAAATAACACTGAGCCCACCTACCTGCTTTCTGGGGCACCCCACCACCTGTTCTGCTGAGCCGCCTGCAGTGATGACATAGAGTTGGGGTTATAGCCCACATCAACGTAATGTACACACTGAGATCAGATCAGCTCTGGGAAGGCTCAGTCAAAGTGACTTAAAGTACCATGTTCACAGCCCCAATGAGACCAGAACCCCAGATAAATCGATCTTACTCTGCATACATTTTATATTGACCAAGCTCATAAAATGTTTGCCTCCTTTAGCAATAAAAGAGAGACATATACAGCTGTTGTCTCCCTATGGTAACAGCCCATTACACTGGGATTATTAATAAACAAAAGTGATTTTATTAAGTATAAAAATAGGATTTAAATGGTTGCAAGTAATAGCAGACAGAGAAAAGTAAAATAAAGCAAAGCATGCCAGCTAAGCCTAATAATCTAAGAAACCTGTTACATGCAAATTCTAATTATTGGAGTTTTAATAATCTTTTCTCACAAGCTGGGCCTGACTCCCAATTTGGGCCTGATCCTTCCTCTTGTTCAGATTAAAATGTTTCCAACAATAACCATGGGTTGAAGCAGGGGTCCTTGCATCTAGCAGTTCTCAGTATTGTTTGCTTTCCTACCTTCACATCTCTTTTGCCAAAGGCAGGAACTGTTTATGGTCAGTTTAAACTTTTTCAGAATTCCAGTGGAAAAGTATAGCATCCAAAATGGGTTCCAGCATCATGTGATGTGGTCACGTGTCTTGGCAGGATTAATGTATAATACAGGTTTACAGGAAAAACAATACTATTAACAGTTCATTTTCTTGAGTACCAAGCCATTAGGTTCCTTGAGTACTGCTAATGACCATAACTTAACTTGTTTAGATTATTAAAGAGGTTTATGCTGATTTTTCTAACATCAAATACAGGAACGGCACATGTATACACATAGAATGTACACATGCAGCAGATTATAACTTTTTAAAATGATACCTTACAAGATGTATTTTGTATACTGTAAATCATTTGCTTTTATGCATATTCATAAGCCTATTTGCATAAATAATATGGTATGCAAATAATATGGAACCCTACATTACAGCTTTTGCAGTCTCTTTTCTGCACTGAACTGCACTTCAAATGTGAAAAACCTATAATAGGTAGCAAAAGAGCAAAGAGGAGATATCATTATAGACAATACTACATTTTAATTCATGTTAAATGGTTTCTGTTTGCCTATTTAATGATAGCAGGTATGGAATGTGGAGTTTTTTAAGCTTTCTTCCTATCTTTTGGTAGATAGTATTACCTTACTGTACCTTACTGATAAGTTGACTAGCTAACAACAGATTAAATAATACTTCGGAGAGGAACCTGTAGTCATAATACATATAGGTACATGGTACTTGTAGGTACCAATGGCATGGGACAGGATAGGAGAGAGGTTTTTAACCTGTCCTTTAAATCATCTTCTGTACCAAATGACTGGAAGATAGCTAATGTGATGCCAATTTTTTTTAAAGGGCTGTAGATGTAATCCTGGCAATTACAGGCCAGTAAATCTCACTTCAGTATTGGGCAAATTATTTGACACTATAGTAAACAACAGAATTGTTAAACACATAGATGAATATAATTTGTTGGGGGAAAATCAGCAAGGTTTCTGTAAATGCAAATCATGCCTCACCAATCTATTAGAATTGAGGGGACTCAACAAGTGTGTGGACAAAGGGGATGCAATGGATACAGTATGATACCTTTGAAAGGGGCCCTCACCAAAGGTTCTTAAACAAAATAAGCTATTATGGGATAAGAGGGAAGGGGATTGATAACTGGTTAAAAGATAGGAAATAAAGGATTGGAATAAATGGTCACTTTTCAGAATGGAGACAGGTAACAAGTGGGGTAACGTACTAGGACCAATTCTGTTAATTATATTCATATACGATCTGAAGAGAGATTGTAAATAGTGAGGTGGCAAAATTTGCAGATAATACCAATCCTCTCAAGACAGTTAAGTCAAGGCAGACTGTGAAGAGATTCAAAAAGATATCACAAAACTAGGTGACTAGGCAACAAAACAGCAGATGAATTTTAATATTGATAAATGCAAAGTAATACATATTGGAAGACATAATCCCAACTCTATGTATAAAATGATGGGGGGCTAATTTAGCTGGTATCACTCAAGAGAGAGATCTTGGAGTCGTTGTAGATAGTTCTCTGAAAACATCCACTCAATGTGCAGCAGCAGTCAAAAAAAGCAAACAGAACGTTAGGAATAATTTTAAAAAGGGATAGAGAATAAGGCAGAGAATATTTTATTGCCTCTATATAAATCCATGGTACGCCCACATCTTGAATACTTCATCTCAAAAAAGATATCTTGGCATTGGAAAAAGTTCAGAAAGGGGCAATACAAATTATTAGGGGTATGGAACAGCTGTCAGATGAGGAGAGATTAAGAAGACTGGGACTTTTCAGCTTAGAAAAGAGGATACTAAATGTGGAGATCATAGAGGTCTATAAAATCATGACTGTTGTGGAGAAAATGAATAAGGAAAAGTTATAAACTTGTTCCGGTAACAGAAGAGCTACAGGTCATTACATTAAAACAAAGAGAAGGAAGTATTTCCTCACACAATGCACAGTCAAGCTGTGGAATTCCTTGCCTGAGGAAGTTGTGAAGATCAAGACTTTAGTAGGGTTCAAGAAAGAACTAGATAAATTCATGGAGGATAGGTCCATCAATAGGTATTAACCACGATCTGTAGGAATGATGTCCCTCGCCTCTGTTTGTCAGAAGCTGGGAATGGGTATCAGGGGAGGGATCACTTGATAATTACCTGATATGTTCATTCCCTCTGGGGCACCTGGCATTCACCACTGTTGGAAGACAGGATACTGGGCTAGATGGACCTTTGTTCTGACATAGTATGACCATTCTTATGTTTTTATGTTCTTATGTTATTTTTTTTCTGATCCTTTCTTCATTTTATTTCTCAGAGCATTGACGAGATATTAAGAATACACTAAATGGAAATAAAGCACGTGATTCTTTTATAACTGAAGTCCTCAGCAAAGTACATAGTAGGGATGTTAAATATCAACTAATTGACTAATTGAATAGTTGATAATGCATTGACTATTTGATTAGTCGATAGGGCTCTATGGCTGTTGCTACACTTCAAAAGTGAAAGGGCTACGTGGAGCCTACTGACACGACACTGCTGCTTTGAAATGCCGAGAGGAGCCTGACACCAGGCTCCACAAGGCATTTCAAAGTGGCAGCACTGCCTGGAGCCCGGGGTCAGCAGGCGAATCTCCAGCTGATCCCAGGCTCCACGCAGCACTACTGCTATGAAACGCCACGTGCAGCCTGGGGACACCTCAGCTGGCCCCAGGCTACATGCGGCATTTCAAAGAGGAAAGCCACTCCCCCATTCTCCTTTGCTCCTTCTTTGTAAGGCAGCAAGGGAGGGGAAGCGACTAGTCGACAAGCCTGTCGACTATTTGATAAGCATGCACATCCCTAGTGCACAATTCATTTCTCACCATGATGTTTTGTCTGTTACTTTTGTACACTGACATTATCAATTGTGAAGAAGAGATTTCCTTTAACTAATTACATGATTTAAGGAAAATGTACCTTTTTAAAATTCTTTGTAATACAGAGGATTGCTGATATGGGATTATTTTAAGACGAGGTATTTTTTTAAAAAGTTGACTGAGTTTGTTTGTTTTTTTTAAACAGAGTATTAAAAAGAAAAACACAAGCAAGCAAGAGATGAGCACTTACCTGCGATTCATTGTCTCTCGTATGAAGGAGCGGGTGAGTCTGAAAGAATGACACTTTTCCAGTTTGGCAGTTTGCATCGAGATGTCCCCTTTATATATATGTTCTATTCAATTAAGGGTTACATTATGGTCATCCCATGCATAAGTGTGCAGGGGACACAAAGATCCATTTCTGTTTTACACATCTTCCTATGGAGTGGTTTATGTGTTTCAGTATGTACAGCCCATGGCTCAATATACAGATGAGTCATGTTTCTAGCTGGAATAGCCAACTGCAGGTACCCACACCTTCAGTGGAAAGGACTTTCTTCAGATTTTACAGAGACAAACAATCAAGGTGAAACACCTCTCTCTTTCTGTTTCTCTACCTCTAGGATGTGATTGTATGGCCCCTTTTCCCTTATATGTAAATCAATATAAAGTGATTTTTTTTTTCATATACCATTTCTCTGTCCTTTCAGGCTATCGATCTAAACAAGAAGGGGAAGGACAACAAGCACCCAATGTATAGGAGGCTGGTGCACTCAGCTGTCGATGTTCCTACTATTCAAGAGGTACAATCACATACCTTCTGATTTCCTAATGGAAATTTTGTTCTGTCTGTAAAAGTGAAGCCAAAACATTATGTGGCAAAGTTTTAATGCTTGTTGTTTATTTTTATGCTTGTCTGCTATCATTTCTGTCTAGCATTAAATATAATAGCCAACCATTTCAAACTTGGATGACTAAAGCGATGCACCCAAACCCTTATACCAGCACCTAAAAATGTACCTGATTTCTAGAGGTGGAGAGTGTACTCAGTTCCCATTAGTTTTAAAGAGAGATGTGGGTGTTCTTCTCCTCCAAAAGATCAGGCTATTGATTTGGGTGCCTACAGATAGGCATCAAGGTTTGAAAATCTGGCCAATAAACAAAATGGCAATGAAACAAGCCATAAGAACGTGTTTGACCAGTTACTCAATTTTTTACTTGTTAAAGCTCTGTACAGATATCTGCTTTTCAAACATCATGATGATTCATAAAATGCTAAATGCTTTGATTGATCACATGAAGTAAAAATGACTTGAAAGGCCTTCTATGTTAATGTCTTCAAAAAATAAAATAGTGGTCTTTGTAAGGTAGTTCAATCCAAGAATTAATAAATCAAAAGAATTGGGAGCTTTCTTTATAAGGATTAAATTCTTGAATATTGCAGCTAAAATTATATATGTTGTGCTATTTATTGATAATTGTATTAATTTTTAATTGTAAATTTAGGTGTTATTTATTTTTGTTACTATAAAATAGAATTTAGTATTACTTGAAACATGAAGTTATACACATGCACAAATAATATCTGCATTAATATTTTTGGGGGAAACTACCACCAGTTGTACTCCTCCAGGGCTGTGTCTAGACTACATGCCTCTGTCAGCAGAGGCATGTAGATTAGACACATAGGCAAAGGCAAATGAAGCCGCGATTTAAATGATTGCAGCTTCATTTACATTTACATGGCTGCCGCCCCCTGTCGACATCAAAGCCCTTTGTCAGCAGCCCCGTTATTCCTCGTGGAATGAGGTTTACCGGGGCTGCCGACAAAGGGCTTTGATGTCGACAGGGGGAACGTCCAGACTAGCGCGCGAGCCGACAAACAGTTGATCAGCTGTTTGTCGGCTCAGCGCGGCAGCCATGTAAATGTAAATGAAGCCGTGATCATTTAAATCGCGGCTTCATTTGCCTTTGCCAAAAAAACAAATCTACATGCCTCTGCCGACAGAGGCATGTAGTTTAGACGTACCCCAGAGGAGGAAGTTGCCAGAGTAGACAGTTTGGGCATTTTTACCACCACGTGGTCCAGATTTGTTCAGAGCAGGGTTGGTGGACTGATAAAAATGGCATTATTGACAGGGGTTTGTCTATACTAGACTTCCAATGGTAGTTATCACCAGGGCAGTGCAATTGGCTATAGAAAAGTATGTTTTAATCGTGTGGAAAAGTCCATAGCAAGCTCAGCTTGGGCAGGACTAGAAGAATATACTGGGTGACTCAGTGCAAACCTCTGATAGGTTTTTAATTTATGGGTTTTGAAAGTTAATCCTTTGAGAAGACAGTAGCTGCAATATGAGGCCTTTAGAAAAGTATATGGGGGCTTAACACTGAATTCAAATGAAGATAAATGCTGGCTTGAAACTAAGATGCAAAGCATTGTTGCTCAAGGAGTGAATCTTTGATTAAATTCTGTGGGTTATATTCTTACTCTGTTTCACACTATGGGAGAAAATGGGATTACTCCAAATTTAACAGTTACAATTTAGAAAAATCCCCCCTCTTTAATTAAATTACTTCACCATCAGTACTGGGAACTGGACAGGTATGGAGAAGTAGGGAGCCACAGACTAATCCTGGAAGTGTTTTAAGTACTCCTGTGGGCTATAGCAATGTTGATAACCAGCCTTGTCTACCTAATATGTATTATTGTGTGAGCTTGTGTGCACAATACAAACACGTCACTCCACCAATAGTTTTCATAGTTCTGTATTTTGCTTTGTTGTAGAAAGTAAATGAAGGAAAATACAGGAGTTATGAGGAATTCAAAGCAGATGCTCAGCTGCTTCTACACAACACAGTGATTTTCTATGGAGGTAGTATATTCACCTTAATATTTTTGCCGTTAATTTGATTCAGTGAGTACATCGGTGTCTTTACTCTTAAGAAACTGACCATTTTGGACGAGACTTGGGGACTAGCTAGTTAAGACAGAGTGAGGCCACCAAGGGTGTGTCTAGACTACAGGTTTTTTTTTTAAAAAGTAGCCTTTTTTCGAAAAAACTTCACCTGCGTCTAGACTGCAGCCGCGTTCTTTCTAAAGTAAATCGAAAGAACACAGCAGTTTTTTCAATCGCGGTAAACCTCATTTTATGAGGAATAACGCCTTTTTTCAAAAGTACTCTTTCGAAAAAAGGCGCTATTGAATGCAAACTGCTTTTTCAAAAGAGAACATCTAGACTCTTTCGAAAAGCGGGTCGCTTTTTCGAAAAATCTACTTGTAGTCTAGACGCTCTTTTTCAAAAGAGGCTTTTTCTAAAGTATCTTTCAAAAAAGCCTCTTCTGAAAGAGGCTTGTAGTCTAGATGTATCCCAGGAGAGTCTGGCTTCTAGATGGGTGAACTGAGTTTGTACTCATTTTTACTGTGGGACCCATCCTTTTCTACTTCCCTTAAACCTGGTATCACCATCTCTGCAGCTGGCCCTCTACCCCCTTACCAATCTATTCCTTCCTAAGCCTAGGAAGCTGTAAGGCAAAGCAGTGGAATTTGAGGAATGGGACCTCAGAGTAGCTCCGTGCATACTATCAGGCCAGTTGCTGAGAATATTGCCTGGGAGAACCTGTTTAGTCTCTGGCCATTTTCAGAACACATACAGTCTGCAAATGGCCAATGTGTTCAGAGCATATTTGATACAGTGACGCAATATTCTGGGAAGTAAAAGCACCACAAGAGGCAGCTTCTAGATTTGACCCATGTAAACTGCATGCTGTAATCCTCTGAGAGACAGTAAACTTGTGATTACAGCAGTGTTTCTATAAGGAAGTCATGGCTAAGACTGGTGTTTTAGAACAAATGCAGCATGTGGGTTAGAGCATTAATGTTTAAAAGAGAAAGTGAAGCATCTAGATTAATTGATAATAGTGGCCCATTCCAAGGTCCACTTCAAAGCTTAGTTAACATGTTAGGTAATTTAAAAGCCCCTAGTTTTATTTATATGCACAGATGGATGTGATGGCAGAGAAATAGAATGGATTGTTGGAAATTTAATAGGAGAAATGTTAGGTAAGATATTAAATTAGATACTTTTAAAACATATATTTATACCGGAGTGGGGAGTGCAAGCCAGGGTCTGCATCTGGTTCCTGGGCCTTAGATTCCCCACGCCTGATTTATACCATGAAAAGCATGACAGCGATTACAAATCTTTGAGTAGTGTTCTCATATAGTGGTTATTGATGATATTTACTTTTAACTTACAGCGGACAGTGAACAAGCTGATATAGCTAGGATGCTTTATAAAGACACATGCCATGAGGTAAGTTGTATCTGGGAACTAAGATGAAAGAGATGATTTGTTATAGATGAAACCATTTTGTTTTAAAATAGTGTGATATCACTTTCTAAAATGTTGATTTTTTTTGTCTTCCTCTAAGTTGCTCCTAAAAGCAAAAAATAATATGTACCGTTTATTATTAATTTTCCCAAATTAAGCTTTTTTCACGGTGAATTCCTAATTCCTTTTCCTTTTGTTCTGCATGGGTAGGGTTTTATATATATATATATATATCACAATTTAGTTTCAAAATAATATGTTAACACAATTTCATTCAAGCCTGATGCGAAATTCTGGCTGCTTTCCAGGATGGACAATTGAAAAACTGAAGAGAACAAGAAAGTGGTGTTCAGGACAGCTCTCTCGGGTGTACTTGGCCTTCATAGTCAACTAATTTCAGTGCTTTCAGGGAGTGCTTTAAATATACTAATTGTCCTCATGTATATTGTATAATCTTGAAAATTAAATATAAGTTCCATTAGCATTATATTTGTAAAAAAGAAAAAATATACTTCTATATCAAGGCCAACCTTTCTCCTACTCTAAACTTGCCTTCCTTTTTGTAAATCTAACTAATTGCACAAAATTGAAATGATTTCTCAAAAATTAGTAGGCAAGACTAAACATTTGGTCTTTTAAACATTTGGCCTTAACATTCTTACTTCTGAAGAATTAATAACACTGTCACAAAGTGTCTCATGAGCTGATTTACTTGTTTTTGTTTTTCAGCTGGATGAACTGCAGCTTTGCAAGAACTGCTTCTATTTGTCAAATGCACGTCCTGACAATTGGTTCTGCTACCCTTGTGTATGTTTCTGGCAAAAATTTTAATTTACTTGCTTTTTAAAAAATAATACTGCCGTTCCAGTATTATTCATTTCTTGAATATTCTGCTTCAAATAAGCAGAATAAGCTTTTTCAACTTTACAGTTTTGTCTCTGCAACTCTTGATATTTTATGTAAGCAAAAACATTAACTGAAATTCAAAGCAATAACAATATGGATAATAAACTTGTTGCACTAGAAATAAGGAGTTTACAGGAATTAAAGCTCTGTTTCTATATAAAGCCATGAAGTCAAATTTAATTTTTGAAGTGTTTAAGATTTCTGTGTACAGTAGATAGTTACACACTTTTTAGAAATTGTCTTTCTTAATGTGTCTTTGATCCAAGCATTATATCTAGCCTAGAAATACTGTGTATTTGTAAGAAGATAAGAATGAAAAGAGCACTAGACATAAAAAACAATCATGTTCTTAAGATACCACCATGGTACTATGCTAAACTTAATATTTGTGGGATGATTTAATGTAATATTTCAAACTCAATAATGAAGAAAACACTTTCCTCCCTCCAGATACCTAATCATGAGTTGGTTTGGGCCAAAATGAAGGGCTTTGGGTTTTGGCCAGCCAAAGTCATGCAGAAAGAAGACAATCAGGTTGATGTTCGCTTTTTTGGGCATCACCACCAAAGGTAATGTATTAACCCGTGTCCTGCTTGTTATAGACATTCCTCAAACAAGTTTACTCTATTCAATCATGTTGTAAATCACTGTTGAGCAAGTCACCAGCCTTACAAAGAGTGCTAACTTTACCATAATTTTTTCAGAAAGTTCAGAGTCCAATGTAAGACAGCAGAGATTGCTGAGTGATTCATAGAAGATTCCATTTTCAGAATTGCCCTAGGGATGTTCTCTACCATTTAAAGTAAAGAAGCAAACTAATTCCTATGAACATGACTCTTCACAAATACAGCTGCTTGTACACACAAAGTAGACATACATTAACTAAGATGTGTCCTAGGTACCTGAACTATTAAGTTTGCACATGTTGTTAATCTGCAAGAGGAATCACAGATTTACATTTTAGGGATGTAACACATTATAAAGGACATCGACATATTATTGTTGTTAAGTTACTATTGTGCTAGCACTCCCCAGATGGACCCCATATTTTCAGAAGAACTCAAGCCCCTTTCCATAGAATATTCACTTATGGATTTTAGGGGGTAGTTTGTTCTTCTTTGGGTGCTTGTTCACGTCATTTCCATGTGCATAGTTTTTAGAAATTTTTTCCCTAGGAGCATCCGTAGGGTCAGCAAAGGAATCCATAAGAACGGCCATGATGGGTCAGGACAAATGTCTATGTAGCCAAGTATACTGTCTTCTGACAGTGGCCAGAGGGAATGATCAGAACAGATAATAGAATGAACAGAATAGGTACTGTAATAGCTCACTGGAGTGGCATCAGTACATGGCACTATATGTAACCCTGCTGACCTGCCTCTCCCTCAGTTCCTTCATACCGTCTGTGACACCATAGGAACATCGCTCACTTGCTGCGCTAGTGCACCATTCCCTAGTTTAGTTTGTACTCATTGTTTGCAGTTTATCGTTCTCACAGTAGCATTAGTTGTTACAGTTAAGTAGTTGAGATGGTAGATAGCTACCGCCTCCTTGGGCATTGTACGCTATGCCCAACAGTGACCCTCATGACTCCTATCTGGTGGAAAATACCAAGCAGACTGTTGCAAGATCTGCAAATCCTTCAAGTCATGCACAAAAAAATGAGAGGGACTTTTGACTGTGGCAGCTATAGATGAAAGCAGCTCTCGGGCCAACCAGACCCCAGTTCATCAGTGTGTAGTGCCTCAGTGTTGATGCAGGACTTGGCACAATCTTTGTGTTTCAGTCATCACTAAGGAAGTCTGATGATGAAGAAATGCCTTACATAGTGAATGCTAGTGGGAAGAGGGTAGGTTTTGAAGATAAAATTAAAAAAATAACAAGTAAAAATTACTTAGAAAAGATAGATGTCTGCAAGTTACCAGGGCCTGATGAAATGCATCCCAGAATACTCATGGAGCTGATAGATAAAGGCTCAGATATCTCCTCTATCATCTTTGAAAAATCATGGAAGACAGGAGAGATTCCAGAAGATTGGAAAAGGGCAAATATAGTGCCAATCTATAAAAGGGAAAATAAGAACAACCCAGGAAACTACAGACCAGTCAGTTTAACTTCTGTGCCAGAACAGATAAGGGAGCAGGTAATTAAGGAATTCATATGCAAACATCTGGAAGAAAATTAGATGATACGTAACAACCAGCATGGATCTATAAAAAACAAATCATGGTCCAACCAATCTGATAGCTTTCTTTGGTAAGATAACAAGTCTTGTGGATAAGGGAGAAGAGGTGGACGTGGTATTCCTAGACTTTAGTAAGGCATTTGATACGGTCTTGCATGATTTCTTAACAATAAACTAGGCAAATAAAACTTAAATGGGGCTACTATAAGGTGGGTTTATAACTGGCTGGATAACCATTCTCAGGGTATGTCTACACTACCCCGCTAGTTCGAACTAGCGGGGTAGTGTAGACATACCCCTAGTTCTTGAATGCAGGGATTTGGAGCAATCAAGTTTTTGAATTGCTCCTCTCCAGCTCTGCTCCAGCATCAATAGTGACTGCTCTAGCTCTGCTCCGACACTGCTCTGCTCTCCAACTCAAATACATTTTTAACTAAATAAAAAAATGCATACTGTAATTTTGTAAAAACATTATTTTTATTCAGAGTTTTAATACAATTTAGATGTCATCAACAATGATACAAACTAGAATCATTCATAATTCAATCTGTAAAAAATTATTGCAGCAATCAAGTCATCTTTCATAGCCTGCCGCAGATCATTTAAAATTAACTTTAAAGCCAAAAACAGTCGCTATATACTAGCTTGAATTGTTGGCATACTTGAAGCAATTCTACAGGCAGCCTGTATGCAGTGTGGGTAGCTGTGAATGGCCTCAAAAACAGACTTAACTTTTAGCCTACCAATAGACTCCATCGCCTCACATTCTTCCCGAAAGTTTCTCTCGAATAATGCTTCATTACAATTATGAATCGCAGAAACTTGCTGGCGTCTTTCTTGTTTATCCAATTCCTTTTCAAAGTCGTTATCTTCTGTGATCTGGACAAATTGGAGAAATGGTCTGAGGTAAACAGGATGAAGTTTAATAAAGACAAATGCAAAGTGCTCCACTTAGGAAGGAACAATCAATTTCACACATACAGAATGAGAAGCGACTGTCTATGAAGGAGTACGGCAGAAAGGGACCTAGGGGTTATAGTGGACCACACGCTAACTATGAGTCAACAGTGTGATGCTATTGCAAAAAAAGCAAACATGATTCTGGGATGCATTAACAGGCGTGTTGTGAGCAAGACATGAGAAGTCATTCTTCCACTCTACTTTGTGCTGATTAGGCCACAATTGGAGTATTGTGTCCAGTTCTGGACACCACATTTCAAGAAAGATGTGGAGATATTGGAGAGGGTCCAGAGAAAAGCAACAAGAATGATTAAAGGTCTAGAGAAGATGACCTATGAAGGAAGGCTGGAAGAACTGGATTTGTTTAGTTTGGAAAAGAGAAGATTGAGGGGGGACATGATAGTGGTTTTCAAGTATCTAAAAGGGTGTCATAAGGAGGAGGGAGAAAACTTGTTCATCTTGGCCTCTGAGAATAGAACAAGAAGCAATGGGCTTAAACTGCAACAAGGGAGGTTTAGGTTGGACTTTAGGAAAAACTTCCTAAGTGTCAGGGTGGTTAAACACTGGAATAAATTGCTTAGGGAGATTGTGGAATCTCCATCACTGGAGATATTTAAGAGCAGGTTAGATAGACATCTATCAAGGATGATCTAGACGGTGCTTGATTCTGCCATGATGGTAGGGGACTGGTCTCAATGTTCTAGTGTTCTATGATTCTATAAAGACACAGCTAAGGAATCCCAGCACCAGAGATCACCAACACAGCAGCGTAACCCCCTGACTCAGCACCACTTTAAGTCCCCAGCTTCCAAGAAGCAGAAGAAGATTATAGACAGAGGGCACTTCCCTCTTCCATCTGCCAAGCCCCACTCAGGTTTTATAACTTTGTGGCAGTTAGAGACGGCACCACTAGCTCCAGCACCGCAAGTGTCATTGAATCTGCACCAGGCGGCTCCCCCACTAATCACGAAGTCGTGTACTTGGTTGAGCCATCTACACCCAATATATTTGAGGTGGCTAGAAATCTGTAAGATCACACTGCAACAGTGACCAGAGGTGGTGAGGCCTGCAGTGCCAAGATGCACCGATGTCAAGAGGGAAACTGGCAATAATGAATAGGCACTCTCTATCGCCTGACAGTTGACACAGGTCCCTGGCACAGAGCTTGCATTAAACTCGCTCAGCACTGTCGCAGGAAGGTCACTCCTTGACCCCACTCCAGGAGCTTATACTATGAATCAGCACAGACCAGAGACTCTCCCCACTCACGGTCTCCAGCACTGGCCTCTACCTATCTGCCAGCACTGAGGAGTGAGGCACTATTTCTGCCATTCACAAGGCCCCGAAACCTGTCTTTCTCGGGTCATGGCACTGATCACCGGCATTGACATCCCACCTTCATAGATCAAGGTCTTGGTTGCTCATGACTCCTTGCCATGTTCCCTCCGGCACAATTCTCACTCATCCTCCTCTTTGTACGAGCCTTCATTGGCACCACCGTGGTCTTCACCTTTGGTGTCATTGTTATCCAAAGGTGAGTCTACCAGCTCTAGGACGACTGGGAGAACATCTTGCCATACAGTGCATCGTCAGATGCAGTGACATCCACAATGGCCGTCTCCTCCACAGTGGCCATTCTTGACCGCCTGTGCATATCATCAGGCCCAGGAAGTACTTTCCATGATCTCCAGGTCAGCACCTTCTGGGACCTGCCACACCAAGTCAACAAGGGTCCCTTCCTTGATTTTCACCTGACAGATGCTTCCATCTCCAAGCCATCTAATGTGAGTGACTGATCTGGCCACAAGGACCTGCATTCAGCTCTGCAACCGCAGATGCCTGCAGAACAAACTTCGCCAGGCAGTCATCATGGTAACCTACAAGAGCCATCCCTCTGAGAGAATCAGGACAACCCTCTTTCTCTGGTGGCCTATTACTCCTCTTCCCCGGATGAGGCAGTGCTTGGGGTGTCCGCATTGGGGCCTCCCCCCAATAGACCATAGACCCAACTAGGATCTTCTCCACAGGATGGTCCGTAATATGGGCATACAAGTGGAAGAGGTAGCTGAGGTTGAGGACTCAAATGGTGGACATCCTAGCCCCACAAAGTCCTCTAGACCAGTGTGTCTCAACCAATGGTACGAGTGTCTTTGGGGGTGCTCGAGAGAAGTGTGGGGGGTACATCAACACAACTGAAATTTGGAGAAAACTGAATTTTTGTTTTAAGTTTTACAGCATAAAAAAAGGTTGAGAAACACTGCTCTAGAGCAGACCTGCCATTCATAAAGATGGTAGAGAAAAATAATCTCAACTTAAAGCAGACTCTAGCCTCCATTTTCCCAGTGGCCAGGAGTGTGCAGAGGAAGTATTACGCCACACCCCAGGGATATCAGTATATGTACTCCCATTCACCTCTGTGTTCTT